GAATAAGTGAAGTACTAAGGAATCCTAGGTTTTGGACTCCTTGTGTTTTGCCCTTAGGGAGGCATTTGGCTTGTTCTGCTTTCATGTTGGGAGGCTGCTCTTCCCGTAATGGAAACACTCTCCACTGTTTGTGGAATCTTACGTTGCCATAGGGTGGGCAATACTGAGTGACCCCCATGCTCCACAGTTACCATCTTTCAAGTGAAATGTTATTTGCTGAATTTCAAATTGATTCTCTTTGGGTTGAGCAGAAAACTTGGAGAAGAGAAATGAATGAGCATTTTCCAGCGAGACGAAGAATTAAAAGGAATTCCTTATGCCAGAGTCCCAGCTGAATTTCATCAGAAACAAACATGGGTTTGGTATGCATTTCACAGATGATGGAGGTAACAGTCTTATTCCCATCATCAAGAAGAGAGCATTTATTGCCAGCTTAGAATCACTATAAAGATATTTCCATGTATTAGGGTGTTAATGGCTCTACAGAGCTGAAAAAACTTTCTACTTATCTTCAGACTGTGCATAGACCTGTAGATGTTGATTGGATTTTAGTTGTGGGCAAAAAATATTCTTGCTTAATACCTTAATTTCATGGGCAGTAGCGCTACATTGTCTTCTTGCAATTACATTACAAGAAAATGATCTTGAATAAACCTGAATGCATCTGACTTGACAAAAGTAGATAATAACTGATCAGTAAAAATACAAATTTTGAAAACGGATGTATGGCACAGGTAAGTATCCCTGTTTGTACTTTTTGCAGTACTCGCCACTCTTGTTATTTTTTATCACAAGACGTGAGTATAATGACATCTCTTGAAGGCATTTATGTATTAGCTTTTGCAATACAGTTTGAACTTTCTTGAATTCATAAAGTCTAGGAAATGTTACTGAAACTCAGGACAGCAACTTATCTATTGCAAACTAAGTTTGTCCACTTTTCCTTTTTTTTTTTTTTCTCCTTTCCTTTTTATTTGCTTGTTTGTTTCTTTTGAAACAGACCTCTGGAGAGGCTGAGCTGTGGTAGGCAGCTCCTCGTTCTCCCAATGAGTTACCCTTCTGGGGATTTGCTCCTCAGGGCTCAGTAATAATCTTCTACCTTGAATTTTTAAGGAATTTGTGGGAATGGAGGCAATGACTATAATCAGGATCTCCAGATTTAATTTTTCTTAAACTTTGGGTGCTGACGTGTTGCCATGAAGGCCAAGTTCATGTTTAAAAAGCTCTGTCCAGAGAAAGCTTACGTGGTGCCAGTGGAAAAGTAAACTACTAGAAGATAATGGCAAGGATTATTCTGTTGCAAGTGGCATGTGCAGTTTTAGATCTCTCTTGAGCGGAGAGCAGATGGTTTGTGGGGTGAATTGATGTTGCATGTATCATCTTGCAGTTTTCAGGGAATAAAGGAATGCTGAAAACAGCATGCTAATTTTTCTTTTCCTAACAAAGTCTTTAAATATTTTGGAGATAGTTTACCTTCTTTATAATTGGACTGTGAATATATGCATGTTCACCACATCAACTGAAGCTGCCTGTATTCTATTTTTAGTGGATTTCTTAGTAAAGAAGGTGTAGCAGGCAGGAATAGAGTATCTTATTACACTATATTGTTACCCAGTTGACTTGTGTTTGCATGCACAGCCTGCAAAATGTTAAGAAGCCTGCTGTTGTAGTTTTGGAAGAATGACGCAATACAAAAAAATCAACAATACTTTACTGCAGCTATCTAAGGGGAAAACCCCCTTCTGCTTTCATCTTTAAATCCTCAACAGAAGAAAGCTATTTCACCTGGCTCCACACCCGCGTAGTTAAAGTAAGGGCATCTGCAGTTTCCCCCCAGTTCTAGGATCAAGGTGCTGTCCTTGCAGTTTTTAGATGTTGCTCTCTAAATATTAGAATTGAAATGTTACAATGTGTGTTGCAGTCTCGAGCTGCTAAGTAATTTCATTATGTTTAACTAGCAGGCAAAAAGCCACTGAGGGAATGTTTACTTCAAACAGGAGGAGGGTTACATGCAAACCAGCAGAAATGTTCAAGTCCACCTGTTGTCTAGAAAAGCTTCCTATGTATGTAAAGAAAATTGTAAAAAACACTCCTCCACTTTTCCTAGGTCAATGAAACAATCCCTTACTGCTGCATGTTACAGGCAAAATTCTCATTTTTTTCATTGCAAAGCATTTAAAAAATCTTTTTAATCAAGCCATATGAATGGTTGAAGAGCTGCTGAGGGATTAGGAACAAATTATTCAAAAGACGTAACCCCATAGCATATCATTAATAAAGATGACGTTGTTCAGTGGATACAACCAACAGGGCAGTTTTGTGAGCCGAAGCATGAAAATGCTGCCGGAAAAGACTGCAGATTGTCAGTAATTCCTCAAAACCAGATATATTCCCTGTCTGACTTTACAAGTAGCTCAGGATTCTTCTAAGTAATGTCCTGCCACTTGTAAATTAGTGAAATAGTTATTCTGGTGTTCAGAGGCATTGTTTAGATTTATATTTGTTTTCTGTTTTGTAGCCAGAAGACAAAGACACGCAAAACCATAGTGACGAATCACTTTCAGGTAATATGTCAGCTTTACTGTTCTACATATTTTATTCCTAGCTTCTCTTTGAAAGTACTTTATTAAAAACTGCTATTTGTCATAACCAAGGACAGCCTGGATAGTCAATGTTTGTGGAGCTCATTTCATTACCAGTGTCATTTACAGCTTCCTCTTTGTTCTAAAGGGGGTGGTGATCAATCACGCAGATCATACAAAGTGTGTAAGTTGGGCTTTCCACATACATCTAGTACATCCATCTTTGGAAGAAGTCTGTAGACAGCTACCTGGAGAGAGCAGAAGCTCACAGTGGGCTGTGGGGGCTTATCCCATAATTCTATGAGCTCAGCTGGGGGTGGGGTGTGCGTGGATGATATACAGCCCTGTTAATCTAACAGTGAACAACTGAGAACTTCCTGTTAGTAAAGAAGCTTGTACTATCACGTAGCATTAGGATCATGCAATGAGGTGGGTAGATCATAATTTGCTCATATATAACACAGGGCATCTTAGGAAAGCAGGATTCTTTATAGTGCTTTTGATAGTCTGCACACGGTATAGCACAAGAAGCAGGTTGGTTTAGTTTTGTTTACCTATAACTGTGCGCTGTGTTTTCTTTACCCCTTCTTCCCTGCTTCTATTGGAGGATAAAACTTACTCTGGCATCCTTGCAAAGCAAAATAAGATGAAATTCAGATAGGGTGCTCTCCTGCCCTTTGAGCTCAGCCAGAACTTTGATTGGATTACATTCATTTTGCCTTGTTTGTATGACTAAATCTTGGTATGAGCGAAGCAAGCAAATTTTGCCTCGCTTCAGCAAGAGTTTAGGGTGCATGAGAAGAACAGAATAGTTCACGTATGTATTTCTGTAGAGAACAGCTGCAAGGCCTGTGGAATACCGGTGAGCAAAGCTGTCACCAGAACATGTTTCCCCTTAACAGGGAATCTAAGCATTTGTATGAAGTTATGTGTCTGCAGCAGTGTTGTTGCTGCACGTCCTAACTTGTTGAAAACTTCAGAAGTTGTCTTTGGCCTGCTAAAAAAGCCAAGCCAGTGAGCAATATTACAAAAATAACAATACCCTGTTCTTCCCTTAAAAACAAAAGAACAAAGTGCATGCAGAAGCTACATTCAGCTGAGTAGCTTTTATCAGCACTAATATTCAGAATAAAAAAGTCACAATTTGATGGTCTTTCTGGAATTTTCACACAATCTGACAATAATTACTGCAAATGAAAAAAACCCAAACAAAAAAAACCCTAATAGGTGCTGTTGTCTGTATGAGTAGGTGGCACCAAACACCAGATTTGCCCTTTGCTAGAGATATAGTTCAGGTCTCTTAGACCAGCACTGATCCAGCACTGTAAATTGTGTGTCACTGTTTTCTGTTGTTGTTTTTAATCACTCTTTTGATCAGTACCAGTTTTCTTATTGTAGTGTCCCTTTTTCAAAGAGTTTTATCCCAGGTAGAATGAGGTACTTCCCTATTCCAAGCTGTACAATGAGGCTGGAGGGCAGAAGCTTTAGAAAGTGCTTCTAGGCTGTGTCCATTATCTACTGCTCTTTGGACATACCAAATTCCCCCTGCCTTCAAAAAAGAGCAGGGAGAGTTAAGGTCATATCTGCAGCCAAAATGCTCGATGTTAATTGAGTCATTAAAAAAACACTGCAATGTTAAAGGTCTTAGTATTAGTATTTAACTAGAAGTATGACTAGAACTGGTTTCTACGTGCTTTTACGGGTTATTAATATATAATACAGTCTGATAGCACCACATTGTTCACAATGCCAGGGTGATACTGACTGTTGTGTGTGGGAGACCTCTAAATGGCAATTTTCAGTATTTGATGCAGATTTTAGAACATATCACCACCTACTTCCAGCAACTTGGTATTTTTATTTTTCTCACACATGGAGGAGTATGCACTTTATTCCTTTTCATAATGTACATTTAAAATAGGCTTGCTTGGTAGAACAGGGACAGCTTTTATTGTAAGAGCCCTCACAAAGCAAAGGAACATTTCCACTTTTTAATTGTGTTGAAGTACTAGATGTTAGTTGTGTTTGCGGCTGTCAGCAAAGATTCTCCGGGTGCAAATATTTCATGTTGTTATGAAGGCAGCAGCTCAGAAGTGCAAAACCTTTTCCTTCATCCTACAACATATGTATACAAGATGCACATAATGCGCGCATAATCCTGTTGGTGATGTAAGCAGGGGTTATGGCAGATTCAAGGAAGCGACGTAGTTCCCAAAAACCAGAAAGGGGAATATCGCAGCTCACACGCTGGATTGAATTGCATGCTTTTTCTATAAAAGTATAAATATGGTACTTCTAAAATTACTGTCCTTTTGATTATAGCCATGAGCATAGTGAAGAGAGAAGTCTTAGAAAGTTAATTTCATGACTACTTCATAAGGAAAGGCATTACATGTCACTATTCTGACTTTTTCAGAAACAATTCACAGGAACATAATACTCTTCAAACCTTTGCGCTTTTAACTCTTTGTTCCCAGTGAAACCACAGCAATAGATCCTAACTTCTCCCCATGTAATGGTTTTTACTGCAGATCTTAAGAAAACCTGCAAGGAAAATGGCACCTGCTCTTTGTGTTTATTCCGTGCACCGACCATCAGTGACATGCTCAATGATGAGGACTTGTTGTACACAGTGAGGCTAAAGCTGGATCCCTGCCACCCAACAGTGAAAAACTGGAGAAATTTAGCAAGCAAGTGGGGGATGACTTATGATGAATTGTGTTTCCTTGAACAGAAGCCCCAAAGTCCCACCTTGGAGTTCTTGCTACGGAATAGTGACAGGACTGTGGAGCAGCTGATTGATCTCTGTAAATTTTATAAGAGAGTTGATGTTGTAAAAGTGCTGCTGAAATGGGTGGAGGAGGAATGGCCCAAGAGAGGGAACAGAACTTACCAGAATGACTTCTAGGTCAAAGAAAATTGTTAGTCCGTACGTGTTAAATGCTGGGACTAGCTGCCACTAGTACCTGGGAAGTTTCCCTTGCAAGAGAGAGAGAGAGAGCCTGTACTGACGGTTTGTATACTGTGTAAGCTTTACATACTGTATACACATACATATGTTTTGTGCCCTCAGGGTTGCAAAGATAACCTTCGAAAAAATGGATGGAATAATGCAGGTTGTGTTCTTGAGTCTACAAATGCCTTCAGTTTCTTTGCTGCTGTTTGTAGGCTTCCTAAGTAGAAGAGGAATGAGCAAGCCAGACCACTGGTTTTACGGCAGCAGTTGTGAACCATGTCAGTTGTGTGCTGTTGCTATTGGGAAAGCCACAATTAGAAGGCAAGTCTTTTGGCCTTTCTGGCAGCCCTTCTGCAATTTTATATGCTCTACCTAGTACAAGATGAGGGGTTATTTTTTTTTCTTCCTATTTTAAAAAAAAAAAATGGTTTTTAAGCTTTATGACACTGTTTTCGGCACAGGAACACCTCAGTGTTCCAAGCAGCAGTTTGGATTTGAATGTTACAATTGATTAAATGTTTCAACATCACATTCAGGCAAATTAAGCTTTAAATCTCTTTTATAAACTAGAATAGGTGTTAAACAAAATAATTATTTGCATACTTCTACATCATAGGGCATATATTTGCTATAGAAGAAATCATGCAATTCAGAGAGACTTTCCAGCCCATAACCACTAGGGACCAAAAAAACCAACTAAAATGCTTTGTACTTAAAATTACTTTCCAAAGTTTTGAAGACAGCATACAGTCTGAGTGTACTTATCTGTTTATCTCAAATGCCTCTTGCTTTGCAGTGTGAGGTGATGGCTAATGCCTCACCCACAGTATATCCTTTGTATTGAGTATAACTTCCCTTTTCACAGGCTGTGGTTTTCTTTACAGTCCTGTGAGTTGACCTACTTTCTGTCCCACACCAAAGTAGTTGCACAATTGGGTAAAACTAGCACAAGTTTATGTATTGATTAAAGCCACTCTAATGGGGAAGTTAACAGGTGAATTCATCTACAGTCCAGGTGGACGGTTATTAAAGCACTTATGGTGGTTTAGACTAATATTTCTCAAAGAATTCTGATGCTCTGAATTACACTGTTTACTTTTAAAATATTTTAGAAATTGTGTCTTTTTCCTACCATTCTTCTGTGTTCTAATGTTTTAAAAAAACTCCTGAAAAATCAGTTATACAATACGATGTATAAAGTACTTATAGCTATAATGCCACACACAAAAATGTTGTGACTTAAAAATATTTCTAGTTGTTACACTTACTAAAAGCATCTCAGACAATACTAATATGTATATAGGTGTACATACCAAAGCACTGGTGAACAGTATGTCAAGATGTGGTGCAAAACTAGAATGGGGGTACAGGTTGATGCACTGTTTACTTTTCTTGAGTAGAAATGACTAAGAATTAGTAGCAAAGCTGAGGGAAGTCTAATGCTGTATACTGAGTTTTTTACTGTAAGAGAATGAAAAGGGACCTCTAGTAATACTATACTATAGATACTGAGCGATATGGTTATAGAGGAGCTAGAACTAAAGACTAACATTTTCAATGTCAGGCACTTGTTCTGGGGTGACGTAAATTAGCTTTATTTTAGTGACTTCAAGAAGCTGAAGATCTAGTTTCAAGGTGAAAAGACTGACCTAAATTTGAGGTTTGAATTGTTTCTTTTTTTAAAAGCTTGTGGAAGACTGGAATTTTACATTTTTTTTTTTAACCATTCCTCAAAAAAGCTGCTACTCTTTAGAACAGTATGTTTTCTAGCCATACTTTAAAGAGGAAATTGTACTGCTGTAACTTGTTGGGGCTGCAGTTCAAATGTTTCATGTTCCTCTTCTAGGAACAGGGGTTCCCCGATAGATGTCTGTCAACTCTAACTTTTGTAAATACTCTTCTGTCTTTAGTTAGGAGCTCTAGAATCAGTTTTGAGGACTACTGCTGTGGCTGGGCTTCCTCCTGTTTTCAGTTCCTACAGAGGCATCTACTGCATATGTGCAAATAGCTCATAATGCAGCTTGTCCAACGTAATCCTCATACCTTGGGCCTACTATATGCATGATTTAGGATCATGTGTCTGTGTGTTAAGTTGTTCTGAGTGATGAGTGCTGGCATGTATGCTAACAGCTTTTCCCTCCCATAAGATACCACAGCTGTATGTGTGTGGTATTATAATATACTCTGCTTTGGTACATCCAGTTCAGCAAGGAGCTGGGGCCCGCACCTAAGACTCAAATGGGAACATGAAATAATGCAGCAGCAATTCTGAATTAAGATGTTCAACTGAAATCTACCCCTTTTCCTGTTTTCTGGCTAAAACTTGTAAAATTTTGAAGAAACACTATTGTCTTGTGGAAATGAGTTCTGATCTCTTGAAGCTCTTCAAAAGTCAATGTCAGCTGCAAGGATTCATGTCTGATGGAAATAAAGCTGCTTCTGAGAGTTCATATGTGGATTCTGTATAAATTCAACACTGAAGGTTGAAAATGTTAGCCTTAAACTTCATCACACACTGGATTACCATTAGTATACTTGAATTTTTTTTTTCCTCTTTGTATGTCATGAATTGAGATGTACACACTTTTTTTAGTTTTATATCTGTTTACAAGATATTGGGTCTGAGTATTCAGTTTATTCTTATATCTTCTGTTATAATGTATACTATTTTTAGAAGAAATATAGATTGTCAATGTTTGACTTTATTGTATTTTGTTTTTATTACAGCTAGGAAAACAGCTCTTTTCCTTCTCACCAGTCACTTTGGAACCACTGAATTATCTACTAGTTGTGCTGTGTAAACAAACATCTTCTATACAAGATTCATGGTGTCTTAAAGCACGTATGTTTGCAACAGATACTGCTGTTCAAGAAAGGAAGATGCACTTTTTTTATCTTTTCCATACGAAAAATGAGTTAATTTTGATAAGATGATGAACCAAGATGTTTATCTAGAAACTTGCAGCAGAGTTACTAACTATGGAGAGGCATGAAACCTACACTGGGTGAACTCTTCCTGATTTAATAACCAATCTGATAATGAAGGTTAGAGAATCACATGGACACTGAAAAGGCTCTACTAGACTATCAGTTTTGTTCCATTATATCTTTCTCCTATTCCCATACAAGACCCACTCTCCCTTGAGGGATTTCCAGTTCTTTGGCTGCCATCTCTGTGCCCGCAGGATAATCAGCGGCCCTTCCCACCCACTTTAGCTTCCATGAAGATGTCCAAACCACTACATTCTTTCATTCCTGCAGCTTTATCTAAGACATGGTGAGCCTAATAACTGTTCTTCAATAGCAAAGGTACAGTCCTGTGCTCCAGGAGCCCCTAGTTTTGCTGTGAAGTCAACTGTGGGGTACCCCCAACAAAACAGTGACAGTATCCAGCTGCCTTACTCGCTACATGCACTTCCCTTTGATTTGTGGAGAGGAATGTGAGATGCATTTGGGGCTGTCCTTTGGAAGCCTGCCATGAAGGATAGGGTAGTCAGCATGGCCCCAGGTGCTTGCTTGGAAGTAAGTTGTACAGAAACTGTAAACCATACTTCTTCCTGAATCGCTACTGAACAATGGAGAGCTGCAGCTCAGTCTGGGCAACGCTTTGTGCAAGAGAGTGCGTACTTTTCACTGTCTCAAACTGACTGCCTCCCACAGTTTCAAGTCAAGCTGTTAGCAAGTGGAAAAAAAAATTAAATTCTGCCTTATGGTGGTTTAAGTTAAGGTTAACACCGTTGACTTCTAGCCAGATGTAGTTGGAAATTATTTGTCAGACAGCAGAATTATTTAAACAAGGTCAAAGAAAGTGCATGGCATTTATAATTTAAAGAGCAGCCTACTTCTGTAATTTTTGCAGCATATCATGTTCTCTGTCCATGAAGGAAAAGCAATTAGTTATTCATAACTAATTTCAATACATCTTGTGAGTCTTAAGTTTTGGGTCAGTTTTGCACAGCAGGGCAGAGCGCCATTACATGAGGACTTGGGTTTGTTGCCTGTTTGGACAGAAAAGTGCTTTTCCTTGTCCCTGAGCTCAGCTAGTCCTGATTGCATGGGTATGGTCAGTTGTTAGCCTTAGCTGGGTAGGGAAGGTGTGGATCTACTGGTCAGAGAGGCTGAATACGAGCAGCGCTAACAAGAATTTATTTGGAAAGGTGGAGTCTGTAGTGTTTGTAAGCCTGTACCTTGGCCAGGGACTGGGACTGACTCCATCTTACAAGAAACTGATGGCAAAGAGGAGTTGACAGACTTGGGAAAGGCTTGGGTCAATTAAACAGCTGGGCAGACTTACTAGTTGGTTTGATGTCTCTATTTTACCTTTGTAGAATGTTGGTTCTTGATTTCAAAGGTCGGTCATTGGGGTAAATGTGTATTTGTTACTGTGGTAATGAGAGTCGCATGAGAATCTTAAATGTGAGAAAGATAAAGCAGTGCAAGTCTTGTTAGGATGGGATCAGCAAGGTTGTCTTTGGCCTTTTTGAACTCTGACATGAAAGAGTATTGGTGTGTTGGGTTTGTTCCAGCTTTGTTTACTGGCCTTCACAGTGCTATGAAGATGAGGATTAAAATTGGAGAAGAGATGAGAAAGAAGTAGCTTCTGTCAGAAATAATTAGTGAGAAGCAATGTCTATGGTGTTAATTTTCTCTTTCCTCTGATGTATGCACAGAAATAGTTTCCTTGACTGAAAATCTTAGTTATTTACAGCTGCATCTTTTAACTTTTTTGAGAAAATTCCAGAAACCAGACCAAATGCGTTAGTAACTTGGAGAATAAATGTGTTCTGTGTATCTGAGCAACTTTACATATCCACATAAAGGTGCTATTTTTATTATTATTATGAGTTTGCTTCAAACTTACCCCATATTTAGTTTGGGAATGCTTTTTGTCTCCAAAAATAACCAAAGTTTTATGTTGTTGATGACATAAAACACATTTACATGACTAAAAAGATCTTAACAGGAAGAGCCAGGGTAAGAGTAAGAAAGGGGCACCCAAATCCTTACACTAGCAATAATATATTGAGTCTAAGCTGAGGGGTTTTTTTCATGTTTGTGCCCAATATATGTGAGCTTCCCCCACTCCTCTCAAGCTTCAGTTCATTCACGATCCCATAAATAGTTTATTAGATTTTTTTTTTTTGGTCCTAATTTACTTTTGTCTCTACTTTCTCTGAAGGTGAGGACTTCAACTCAAAGGT